AGTTACAGGGGATCCAGTGCCCTTTCTGGCCTCTGCTGGTACCAGACACACACAGCGCACACGAGATACATGTAATCAAAATACCTATAAACAAAAATATCAGTGGCACCACTCCTTTTTTTTGTTGTTTTTTTTCGAGACAAGGTTTCTCTGTGTAGCCCTGGCTGTCCTGGAACTCACTCTGTAGACCAGGCTAGCCTCAAACTCAGAAATCCGCCTGCCTCTGCCTCCCAAGTGCTGGGATTAAAGGTGTGCACCACCACTGCCCAGCCAGTGGCACCACTCTTACCCCCTTTATAAGGGGACATACATGGGTTCACATTGCACTTCTCAGGGTCACATGACTGATAAGAGCACCCATTCCTTAGGTCCTAGAACCTTATAGCCTTATAGCCTCCCAGAGTATACTTGAAGCGTGGGAACAGGAGCCTTTACCTATATGGATGACTTCCAGGGTTGTGGTGGGCCAGTGCACTGTGGAGGAGGAAGTCAAGGGGCAGCAAACCTTTCCCTTTTTGAACCTGACCTCTGCACACAGAACCTGCGTGTGCTCCTCGTTGTCTCACACGGTGTAAAGAAGCCTCGCTTGGAACGCTGGGTCCAAGAATGTCCACCAGCAATAGTGGGCATTTCAGAATTGATCCCCATGAGTAATCAGTTATAATATCAGTCAAGAGCATTGGGGACTCTAAAGGTGACCACTGATTTCTAAGGTTTGACCCAACCTCAGTATCTTCTGCCCACCAGTTAGTTCTCCAAGGCAGTACAGAAGCAAACCACAGTCATTTTAGTGCAGACAGTCTAGGCCTCCTGCATCTCTAAGAAACATCCTCTGACCTCACTTTCTATCATTCCGCTCTTCTCACCTAAACTCTTTGATAATGTAGTCATGAAAAATGCCACGGCATGCTCATGTTTCTTGAGAGCAATCCACAAGTCTGTTCCTCCTTCAGTCCACGAGGTCTTGGGGGAGGGGGTGGGTGTGCTCCACCCTGGGAACCGCCCTCTTCCAAGACAGGCACGGAGATTAGAGGACTGCCAGATGGACAAAACCCAAAACTTAGCACCCACCTCCTAAATCTTCTTGCCCTAGGACAGGCAGGACACACAGACAGGCAGGACACACACCAATGGGATAGATTACTCTCCATCTGTAGTTTCCATGCCATTTCCAGGAAGCCCTCCCAGATGAGTCCCTTCTAGCTACACCAGCCAGGAGCCTCCTTATCCTCCTTTAACTACAGCTAGACCTGAGGGGTCTGGGAAGAACCACCTCCCTTCAAATGAGCCTGGCGGATTTGTGATCAGGCAAAGGAAAGAAACTGCGCATTCCCCTTGGCTCCTATAACCCCCTCTTCCATCTGGAATTCAGTCCCTGATTCACTGGGAGAACCACATCCATCACTCTGTGCCCGCTTCCAGGTCGTGGGAACCGGAAAAATGAAAAGAAGGATGAGGAAGGGGACTGGATTAGACCTAAAGAGGAACTGAGGGCAGGGGGTGACCAGCAGTGACCTCTCAAGGTCTACTGGTAACAGCAGTCCCTTCCCCCGCCCGCAGGTGGGCACGCCTAGCCATGTGACGTCACCTCAACCTGCGGGGGGGGGGGGAGGGAGGGACCGGCGGAGAGGAGGGTGAGGGGCTATGGGCAGGGGGTGGATGAGGGTGGGGGACAAGGGACGCTAGGAGAGGCAGGGGACCGGGAAGGGGCCAGCTTAGGGGCCACTCACCCAGGAGACGACCCGCAACAGGGTCTGGGGCCGCCGCGCAAAGCTCACGGGATCAAATGCAGCTCCCGCACGGCCCGCGCCAAAGGATGCTCCCTCCATTGCGGGACCTGTGCCTTCTGTCCGTTGTCCCACCAGCCTGCCCTGCTGGAGACCTCCCGGGGCTGATGCTGAGGCTGCTGATGCTGTGGATGCTGCCTCTGCCGCCGCCTCCCGGGAGCGCGCGTCGGCTGCGGCGGGGGCGCGCGGGGCGGGGCCGAGCCAGCGCCCCCGACTAGGTCCATGCGCCGGGGTCTGAGCCCTGCCCTCGATCCTTCCCACTCGCTCTCCCCTGTATGACAAAGTCGGAAATGGGAACATTCTCAGGAGACACAGAACGAAGTCCTCATGGGGTTTAGAGGTGAGCAAGAGAAGGTAAGCTCAGATTTTGCCATGGCCAAGATCATCACCAGGACAAGTGCATTACCCTGCTTTTCTGACCGGGAGAGCCTTTTGGTGAGTATGTAAGAAGAAACTGAGGCCCAGCATCTTGACTTTTATATCACGGAGAGTGAACGAACCTCCAGCCTTAGAAGACCAAAGGTAGATCGCTGGGGGCCTTTCTCATTAGCCCTTGAATCAAGAAAATCTCAGCTCAGAGATGTGGTGCACAATTGTGTTGCCTGTGGCTCACATTCCCATTCCCCACCCCCACCCCATATTCTGGTTTCTCCTTCATAAGTCGTACCTTCCTAACAGGATCAGGTGGAAAAGAGTGGTGGCCACCTTCAGGGGTACTGTCTGAGAAGCAGAGTCCACTGTGACCAGCAGGAGTGAAGGTTGAGCATGTCTGTTCTCTGGCCAGGTCATTTCTTCCAGAAGCACTTTCCATCTCTGGTCTCCTGGTTGATCTGTAGCTAATTAATCCTGAGTTCAGGGAGGGGAGAAGTACCAGAGATAAGATCTTGTTCCATCTGTTGCCTAGTTACCCAGCCTCCCCTGGGATTCCCATAGACCCCCAGCCTGACTGATAGACCCACTTGATGCTTTTAGTGCCAGGCTGGTAGGAGACTGAATGGCTTCACCTTCGTGGTCACAGAAGCTACGGTGTAGTTAGAGATCATGGGTAAGACCCAGTTACCTATCTCTGTCTTCCTGGGACCCGAGCCAGGTATGAGGAAAGTTCACACATATCGAGACTACACACTTTACTTTGTGTGACCTGTTGTTCATTCTTCAGAGGGAAGTGTAGTTGGAGGAACCTAGTCTAGTCCCTGGGAAAGGCATTGGCTCTGGTCTGAGTCTCCTTCCAGTCTAGTTGGGTGCAGGTGATCATGCCCCCTCTCTTTTTAGCTATGAACAGATCTGTGTGATTACCCATTTCACCTTCTCCTCTGTCATTTTCATCAGCACCCAATGCATCGCGTTCTTTGAAAAACACAATTCTTGGGTTGAGTATAGAACTCAGTGGTAGAATGCCTGCCTAGCATGCATGGGGTCTTTTTTTTTTTTTTTTTAAGGTTTTTTGAGACAGGGTTTCTCTGTGTAGCCCTGGCTGGCCTGGAACTCACTCTGTAGACCAGGCTGGCCTGGAACTCAGAAATCCGCCTGCCTCTGCCTCCCAAGTGCTGGGATTAAAGGCGTGTGCCACCACTGCCTGGCGCATGGGGTCTTAAATTCTCAATGATCATCAAAACAATCAGTTCGTGGCCAAACTTCTAACTGCTCCCCTTAGCAGTAAATTCAAACTTTACCCATCTATTTCTATTACCTGTCTTTTCCTTCTTTCCCTCAAAACCCAGTATAATCAATCAAGCCCTTACCCTGCATCTGGCCAGGCACCTCCACCTGCCATCTTGCTTCGGATTCACCCATAAGCTCACACTTGCAATGTTTACCTCACAGCCCTTCTCACTGCTGAGCATTTACCCCTTTGTGTTGCCTCTGTGCTGACAGTTCTCAGATGCCAGCTCAAACCATGACCTTCCTTTACACTAGTTCTGCTTGTCTTGATCTGGATGACCTGTGAACAGGGACAAAATGGAGGTTTTGATTTACTTTCTAAAAATAAACCTATTGAGTTGTTGGTTTTCCCTCTTTTTTTAGACAGGATCTATGTAATCCTGGCTAACCTGAAACTCAGTATGAAGACCAAGCTGGCCTCACACTTCAGATATCTGCCTCCTGAGTGCTTAGGGTTAAAGGCATGTGTATCATCATACCTAGTCTTTTTGGGAGGAGGTTTTAATATGTTCTGAACGAGGCAGTGGTAGACACGCCTTTAATCTCAGCACTCAGGAGACAGAAGCAAGTGGATCTCTGTGGAATCCCAGGCCAATCTGGCCTACAGGTTTTGAGTTCCAAGCCACCCAGGGCCACACAGAAAAACTCTGCGTATGTTTGGGGAGACAACACAGCAACAAATGTGTTTGGATTGTTTTGCCTGCATGTATTTCTGTATGAACTTTAGTACCTGGTACCCACAGAGGCCAGAAGAGGGTATTGGATCCCCTGGGACTGGAGTTACTGGTCCAGTCACTACATGGGTGATGGAGGGAGGAGCAGCCAGTTGCTCTTAAGTGAAGTATAAATAGGAGACTGGTGTGTGTATGCAGACTTCAGGGAAAACCAGGAAAAGGACAAGTAAGGAGGGGACGGAACAAAGCCAGCCAGCAGTACAGGCAGTATGTCGAGATGATCACAGGTTTTAACAGGAAACCCTTGGTTCCACGGCATGGCTGCGTTAAGCCTCATCAGAGAGACGTCCTGGAAAAGGAAAAGAGCAACTTCTCTGCTGGCCGGCTGCTCCCGTATCCTTTTTGCTGTCGGACCCCTTTGAGTATCCCCTGCAGAAGCCGGCATACCTAAGGACCTCCTTAGGTGGGGATGCCCTACTGGAGGCACAAGGAAGCCATGTCATCTTTATGATCGTAGGACTGGGGCACATGCTGCTGGGATGCTCTGGTTGGGAGTCTAGCCTAAGGATAGATCTGGCTGAGCAGATCCAGAGATGCCCAACAGCTGCAGGGTTTATACTCAGCAATCCCTGAGTGCGGTCAACACTCTGACCACTCCCCCATCTGTACCCCACAGACCCCAGTCTTCTTCAGCTTCTTTCTCAGCCTGGGAATTCTGACTCAGCTGCTCCATGGTGACTTCTGCCAGAACTCCAGATAAGAGGACCCAACCAATCACAGGCAAAATCGGGCCAGTCCGTCACTGTAAACCCAAGTACAAAGCATTGGGCCAGTCCATCACTGTAAACCCAAGTACAAAGCACACAGGAAGCACCTCCTAAGTCACTTCGTTTTATTTTGGTCTCAAATGCTAAGGAAGCTGTTCCCAGGATCCTCTGCTGACATGCTTGTCACTGCTGCAGAAGACCATGTGCCAGGCTGACAGTGGGCCCCATGGTTGGTACACCCTAAGAGAAAAACCCAGGCAGCCAGGGCTAGGTAGTAGGAAGGCAACGGTCTAGCCCATCTTCCTTTGGGGTAACTATGTCCCAAATGTATTAATGGGTTAAATTATAAAGGGTGCGGAGCACCATGGACCACTCCTGCCTCTCACCTTCAGTCCCATGAGGCTTTAGCTGAGGAGGCCATCCAAGTGTCTATAGTAGGCACCTCTTAATCCTGTGGTAGGGTTCCCATAGGCAGTATTCTGGGGATCCCTCCCCCCACCACAGAAACAAGTGTTGGCTCAGATGCACTTTAATCAATCAGGCTGTCCCTCGATAGCCAGGTTGCCCATGGAAGCTAGATGCCCCAACACACCCTGCTGGTAACCCTCTAGTCACAGGAGCCGTCCTTCCAGCCGTCACGCCAACGCTCATCGACTCTTGAGCAGTCAAAATCAGGCTTGCCCAGCTTCTGGTTCACCTCATTGTGCAGGCGGCACAGCCACTGGCTGAAGGATACTCGAGTGCTCGTGTCTGGCTGGTTCCTGCCTATCCTTTGAGAGAAGCGCAGAAGGATGTGAGGAGATGCTGGCTCCTCTGTCCCTGCCAGCGTCTGGGGACAGGGAGCTGGGGCACAGCTATGACTTAAACTTCAGGATACCTTCCGTTCCACGGGAATGGGAAAGCCAAGAGCGGGGCTGAATCTAGAGTTTCCTGAACAACACTCCTAGGCTGCTTACACATTCACCTGGCATGAGCCCAGAGCAAGATATACTAAAGCAGGCAAGTTTACAGCCTCGTAATAATCAGAGCCACACCCATGGTCTCTAGCCCTAGGCTATCTATAGACAGGTGGGGCCTGGCACAAGGAACTGTTTCTCAGCACCAGGGGCAAGGTGCAGCAAGAGCTCCCCCCATTCCTAACTGCCCAGGTTTCAAATAACAAGTTCAACTGCACCCATGGGTCCAACCTAGAAATGCCTATGGAGAACAGGTTAGGCCATTGAGAGTGATAAAAGTTTATTTCAGTCCAATTTTTAAAGTCCATAACCAAGCTAAGGGATTAGCTTGAGCAACCAAATTGAGTCCCGGCTAATCTGCCCACGAGGGAAGCCCTTCCTAAGAGCTTTAAGATTAACAAAGAACTAGGCTTTTGAAAAAGGAGAAGGCCCCCCTGACCCAACCCTTTTGGTGATCGCTTTCCTAGAAACCTGTCACTTCTGAATCTACTTTTCTAAGTTCCTCTCTATGACATCAGCAAGGCCACCTTCAGGGACCTTACTGATAGAGGAACAGCCACAACTTACCTCTTCCTTATGTCTTCCGCACACTCCTCGCAGGGGTAAAACTTGGAAAATATATGTATGAACTGGGCCATATCCTGTTGCTGTTCTGGCGTGGGCATGTCCGGGTAATAGGCGGCCAGCGTATGGAGGAAAGCCCAGGTGTTGCGACCCAATTCTTCCCGATCCTGTGGACAATCCTCCCTAAACTTGATGTCCCGCTGCAGAAGTAGGCCGACTAAAGGTCAGTTCACTCTTACTCAACCAGAAAGCCCCATAAAATTCCAACCCAGTGGCAGATTGCTTGCGTTTCGGTTCGGATTCCCAGTATCACAAAATAAATAAATAAATACATAAACAAATAAATTACTTAATTAATAAAAATAAAGGAAACAAGGACGCTCCCTTTCTCAGTTGACAGCCTACTAACTCGATCCAACCAGCCGGTGGCTGAAAGCTCAAAGTTTGAGCCTAACGGTGTGTGTGGGTGAGGGGTGGACATGTTTAGGCATAGGCAACCCTGAGGGCTTGGTCCCTGCGGGAGCTGAACCGACCGGCACCTGGAAACCAGGTGTGGGGCTGGGGACCGGGCCCGGCGGCCAAGCGGGAAATCTGCACCTTCTGCTGGGTCCGCATCCACGACTTGAAGTCCACGCAGGCCCGGCACGGTCGCTTGCCGTGCTCCAAACCTTGCGGCGCCGGGGCCGCGGCAGGGGCGGTGTCATCTCTATGCCTTGCGCCGCGGCCCCGCGCGTCAGTCACCAGGTCCTCGGTCATCTCGGAGCGCGCTCCGCCCGGCAGGAAGGAGAAGCGACTGCCGCGAGGGAAACCCGCGGGCTCGCTGGGCGCCGCCATCTTGCTGGCGTGCGGGCAGCGGGGCCAAGAGGGCGTGTAGGAGACAGGCCAGACGAGCGCGCAGGCCACCGCCAGCGCGCGGCGGCAGGAGCGGCAAAGGCAGCCCGGGGCTGGGCTCAGGCTGGGGCAGGAGGCGGGGCCTGGCGGCGGGGCGGAGCTGGGGGCCGAGGCGGCGGCCCGGGTCGCGGCGGAGTGGGAGGCCTCGGGGCGGGAGGAGGCGGAGCCGGAGGCCCGGGCCGAGGCGGCACAGGTGGCTGCGGCTCGGGCTCTGCGGGTACTCTTGCGCCTGGCTGCCCGCCGCGTGCCCGGCGTGCGTGGTCCATGGTGGGGTTCAGGCTTCCTCCAGAAGAAGTGAAGTGTGTCGTGGAAAGCGCGCTGCGGCTGTGAGATCTTGGGCCAAGATGAGTTCCGAGATGCTTTTCGCATCACCCCCATCGCTTGGCTCAGACCCTAAGCAGCGGCAAGATTTGGGGTCTTTCTGCCTTACGACGTGCCCGCCTACACGCTTCTCGGTGCCTTGGCAACGCGCGACGGGGCGTGGCCTCACAGAGACCAGACAGTACTAGTGGGCAGAGGCGACCAGTGCCCTACTAACTATCCCCCACGCCGCAACCTTTAGAGAGGGGTTGTTCTCATCCTATAGTTTGGATAAAAGATCATTATTCCTATTTCAATAGCAGCCTCAGGAATTTTTTTTGTGTGACAGTCTCATGTAACTTGGGCTAACTTCGAACTCTGTGTAGAGGAGTGAAGAATCTTTTGCCACCACTACCACACCACCTTCTCAAGTGTTTGACTTAAATGCCTGTGCCATCACAGGAAGAATTCCTTCCCCTGCCTCCATGTGTTCGTTCGTTCACTCATTCTGCAAATATTTGTACAGTGGCTACTCTGCTCCAGGTGCTGTTTCTGCCACTGAGCATAACAAGGAACAAGCCTCCCTTTTTAGCCTTTAACCAGTGGTGCAAATGGGAAAAAGCCAGTCACCAGAATAAATCTTATTTACAAAACTGGTAGAAAGCCGTGCAGAGGGTGTGGAGATCCTTAGACACGGGCCTTTGGGATAAGGAATCAGCTCAAACTCTTGACATTTTGCAGAAACACCAAGGCCGCTGGGGGCAGGATTTGGAGGAGGTAGATGGAGTCAGAACCTAGAGTTCTACTTATGAGTGGCTTTTTTTTTTCCCCAAAAAGAGTGGGAGATGTTGGGTAACTTGGGACAGTGGATGTTTTGTTGTGTTTATTTTTGTTTTTCGAAGACAGGGTTTCTTAGTATAACCAGTCCCCGGCTGTCCTGAACTCACTTTGTAGACCAGGCTGGCCTTGATCTCAGAAATCTTCCTGCCTCTGTGCTGTGATTAAAGGAGTGCTGAGATTAAAGGCATGTGCCACCACAGCCCGCTGAGAGCAGATTCTTAGAGACAGGGAGGAACCTCTTTTTAGCTCCAGAGTTGGGGGCTCCTTTGTGTGTATCTGAGAAGAGGCAGTGGCTATGTAGAGTGGAGAGCATCTAGGGTTGGGGGGAGTAGACAGAGGCTGTCAACTGGGTGGTGAGAGGGGCTCACAATTCCTCTAGGTCCCTAGTGGTAGGTACTCACCCCTTTTCCAGCTGCTCTCTTCTGACTTCCAACATTTCTAAAAAAGCTGGTATGTAAGTTGTTAAAGGGAATGTCAAGACTTGGCCAAGGAAGGAGGTAGGTTTCATGACCTAGTGACCTGCCTTAGGCATTCCTGAGCAGTCCTAGCTGCTCAGTAGAGCCTAAGGCAGTAATATCCCAACTTTGATAATTTAGCAAAACCCTGTCTCAAAAACAAATAAAACCAAAACAGAGCAAAACAAAAACAAAAAAACCCAAAGCAACTTTAAAAAAAAATGATGCAGTAGTTGATTCAGATTGTCTATGTCTGTACTGTACTATACCGTAGCCCAGGGTGAATTCCAAGAGCAAACTGTTAGGCACACCCTGGAGGAGGTCACAGCAGGGTGGAGAAGAGGCAGAGAGGGCAGGTGAAGTTGAGGCGGCAGACACTTTGATGGTGGAACTCCCTACTGGTTTTCTTCTAAGGAAGGAAAGAAGCCCCAGGTGGTTCTGATTCAGCACAGTCTTGTACAAAGGACTTTTTTCCCTTCCACCTGCCCAGGCTTGCCCCTCCCCCTAGCACAGTCTTCCTGTGATGAATCCTCTCTGGTTTTGTGCTGGAAGATGAACCAGGAAACTGAATGTTTGCTGGAGTGTGAATGCTTTGCAGGGACTCCACTTAGGGCAGTGTTGGGGAAATTCCACTTCACTTCTTCCGGATGCTCAGAGCTCCTTCAAGCACTCTTCGGGAGGCCATCCGTAATCATGGCAAGTTCAAGACACCCAGTGTCAGCCCACGCTGTAGCCCTGGTGCAGATGGACCGACTCCAGGTAGACCGTACTGCCACTCACCCCTGCCCAGATTTTTTCCAAAGAGGTGAAAGGGGAGCTGGCAAAGTCTGAAGGAGATGTCACCTCTACCTTTCCTCACAGACATTTGCCTTCTCTGTGTGCTGGTCAGACAACAGTGACACCTTTGCTCGAAGGAGCTGGGATGAGTTTAGGCAGTTCCAGGTAAGTAACACTGGGATTAGATTTCAATGGGTATCTTCCCCAGTCCAGTCCTATAGATACTCGGTCTGGAGCTCTCTTTCTGCCTGTAGGAGCTCTTCTAGGGACCCTTCCTTCCCTGGGGGATTCTTTCCACTTTCAGAGCCTAACACATGCTTCTCCCCATCAGAAGACCCTTAAGAAAACCTTCCCCGTGGAGGCAGGCCTGCTACGGAGATCTGAACGAGTTCTTCCCAAGCTTCCTGGTCAGGCCTGCAGGGGTCATGGGATGGTAAGGCAAGTATGGGTGAGTGGGGTCCCACAATGTTTGCTTGTGAATCTGGGCAGATGCTCCATTGCTGACACGTTGGGGGCATACTGGCCGAGGCCTGGCACGTTTGCAGCTGCTGGACACCTATGTACAGGCATTGCTAGCAACCTCAGAGCACATATTGAAGAGCTCAGCACTCAATGGCTTCTTTGCACCTAAACCTCTGGATCTGGAGCCCATGCTGCCTCCTGGCAGGTGACTAACCTTCACCCTACTCCCAGCCCATCACTTGGCGGAAGGGCAGATGAGGCTGGGCTGACCTATATATATGTGGAGAAAGGGGTATTCCCATCCTTCCTACTTATTTCTTATATGTGCTGGCTGCACTGCGCAGCCTGGTGATCCTGCCCACACCAGAGGAGCCGTTACCCCAACCTACGGACAGCCTTACTATTCATAGTCTGGAAGCTCAGAGCATGCGCTGTTTACAGACTTTCCACACTCTTGACACAAGAGACAGACCTTTCCACACTCAGGCCCAAGAAATTCTGGACATATTACTACGACATCCTTCAGGTAAGGCCACACTACTAAGAACCTGGGGATTTTCCCTGATCAAAATGGATGCAGACCTAGACATCTGAGCCTTCTCCTGGTCTCTCAAACAGGCTGGTGGCTGGTGGCGAACAAGGATCAGCAGACAGCCTGGTTTCCAGCTCCATACCTGGAGGAGGTTGCAACAGGCCAAGGGCAAGAGTCAGGCCTGGCTTTGCAAGGAAGTGGTATGAGCCCATCCCTACTATAAGCTCGCCACTATGAATGGACCTTTGGCAAGGCTGAGACCACACCCAGGAGGGAGGTAGTACTGGGGCACTAGGCATGTGGGTGCTGCTTAGAGCCAGAAGAAAGCCCAAGTGGGTTTCAGAGCAGTCCAGGGCCTAGAGGCAAACCCAGAGAAAGGTGAGGCCTCTGGCCTTGCAGCTCTACAGTGATCCCCAAATACCTCTCCTAGGGAGGCAGTTCTGTGCTACCCAGGCCTATGAGGGCAGTCGCTGTGATGAGCTATCTGTGCCCTCAGGGGCACGTGTACATGTGCTGGAACCCTCAGACCGAGGCTGGTGGCTGTGCAGGTACAGTGGTGTGTGTGTCTATGTATGGTGGAGCAGTGGCAGGCCCTGCCTGGCGGGACGGGAACATAGGTAAATCCTTAACCAAGCCCTGCTTTTCCTGCAGGTATAATGGCCGGACAGGCCTGCTTCCTGCAGTGTTGCTGCAACCTGAAGGGCTGGGCTCCCTCCTGGGCAGGCCAGGGCTCCCAGACAGTGGTGGGGCAGACAAGGTGGCTGAGGATAAGACCGTCCCCCCTGTAGTACCAACTCGCCCCTGTATGAGTGCTATCCAGAGCCGTTGCTGTTCCATCACCCGCAGGGCACTGGGCCTGGGACAGGAACAGGGGACCCAGGTTCCCTCTTGAGGACTGTATTGACCTGCAGAGGTTGTACTGTCAAAGTCAACCTCAGGCAAAGCAGGGATCCATATCTCACCAAGCAAGCAGGATGAGGGTGGGGCTCTTACCGCTGGCAGGGCTGTGGGCCAGCCAACTTTCTATTTCCTCTAAATAAAACTGGAATGACTTCAACCAAATCACTGTGCACTGAGGGACTGGCACAGGAATGGTCTTGAATTTCTATAGATGACTCCTCAGTCAGCCAAGTGTGACCAAGGATTTTGGGAGAGATTGATCAGATAAACATGAGAAGCCAAGATAGAAAAGTGTAACTTTTATGTGTTTCACAGGGGTGGGGGAGCTGCAGCAGGGAGTGGGGACAGCTTCATGTTGTGCCATAGGAAGTCCAAGAAGGTGGCTGCTTGCAGTGTCCTGCTAAGCCGCTGAAAGTGCCGCTCTAGAGGAAGACAGAGGAGATTTGGGCTGGGGTGGGGGGTTCTCTGTGAACCCACCAGGAGCATCCCTGGACCCAGGGCCACCTCACATACCAGTGTAGGGCAGCAAGGCCTCCAGTGCACCCCGCACACCGTCATAGGCCAGCAGCTCCTCAGGCGCCTCATGCCGCAGCAGCACACCAAGCACAGCCTGGGCTTCATGGCAGTGTCTGGAGTTGGTGTTCCACGTGACACAGAAGCGCAGCAGGGCCTCTATAGGTATCAGGGATGGTCACCAACCTGTTCTGCCCACCAGGTCTCTCCCTCCCCAGCCTGGCCCCATGCAGCCTGCCCACGACCTTTCTGGTCTCTTCGTAGTTGGAGTACAGTGGCTTCCAGCTTCTCACAGGCCTCTGGATCCCTCCGGATGGCTGTGAGAAGAGAGTCTGAGCTTGAGGAAAGGGCTCATCGATCCCTGGAGCCTCCCCCAGCCTCCTCCTGGGACAGGCACTGACCCTGGATAACAGTTAGCACAGTGTGGGGACGATCTAGAGAGATGGCAAGGCCCAGTGCCCGGAGATACCGCTTCTCATGGAGCAGGTTGTCCAGTTCTTGCTGCCTGGTGGGACAGAGGAAAGGGCATGGTCACCCGGAGACCCTGGCTAGGCCTGAGTGTTCATAAGTATGAACCCTACCTCAACCCATTTCCTATGCTGCATGGCAGGGAACATATAGAGGCTGCGGCGGCGGCTGCTGCGGCTGCGGCTGCTGGATGCAGGAGCTAGTACTATTAGGACATGCAAGGGATGCTGCTGCTGAGGGAATGCAGTGGGGTCTACTGAGCCCACACTTACTTGATCACCTGCTCTTCCCGTTTGGCCTGCTCTTCTGCCTGTTCAGCTTCTGTCACATCCTGGGATCAAATTAGGGTCAGACAAGCCCTGTGCTGCCCTTTGCCCGGCCTTATCCCATCCTGTAGGGTTCAAACCTTCCAGAGAATGATTCGGGAGTCACTGCCCCCAGTGATGGCACGATCATCCATTCGGCTGCAGTGCAACCCCCAGACCTTGTCCTCGTGAGCATCCAGGGTCCGCACACACTCGTTGCTCTTAATGGTCCACAGCTTCAGGAGCCCATCAGAGCCACTGAGGTTAAGAATGGAAGGACTCAGTGTAAGCCACGTCCCTCACCATGCACTCCAGCCCATTCCTAGCCCACTCACCTAGACAGCAGCTGTGAGCCACGGCTCACAAAGGCCACCTTCAGTACAGAAGCATCGTGTCCCTCAAATGTCTGCAGGGGAGAGACAGAGGACCTAAGTATGGGTACAGGAGGGTATATTACTACAGAGGGGACGGGACTAGGGGAAATACTTACCTTGAGACAACTGAAGTCCTGCAGTGCCCAGAGCTTGATGGTGCCATCAGCAGAAGCTGTAGCCAGCACCTGGTCCATGGGTGAGAACTGGACATTCCATAGGCCACGTCGGTGGCCTGAAAAAACACCTAACAGTTGGCACTGAGGCAAGGCCCAGAGCTTAGCTGTGCGATCCTGTGAACCTGTTGCTAACAGCTTGTCATTGGGGGAGACAGCCAGACTGTTGATGTCCTGGTGATGAAAGCAGATAGCAAAACTTAGACACCCATCTCAGCAAAGGCTCGGCCACACCCCATCCCAGAGACCATGTGTGGCTGCCTACTTTGTCATGGCAGCGCTGAGTGGTCTGGGCCTGTAGAAGCATGGGGCCACTGTCTGCAGCTGTGTTCTTGGAGAGCAGGGCTTCAGGGAGGGGCCAGAGCTTCACAGTGCAGTCCTGACTGCCCGTCACCAGGAAAGACTCTTTTAGCCTGTACCCAACAAGAAAGGAGACACTGCTCAGGCAGAAGGACACTGGCTGCAGTACACCAAGCTCTGCCCTCTGCACCATGATCAGGACCAGAAGGATCATCTCAGCATGCAGACTGGCCAACATCACCCCCAAATGCCTCTGCCTGGGTCATGTACCCTCAGCACCAAGCAACTGGTGCCAAACCACAGGTCAAACTCTTAATGAAGGGCCACTTTCTCCAGCAGGGTCTCATTCAGAGCCATTCTCCCCATTTCAAGTCCTTTCCACTTTGTCTACCTTCCAAGGGCACCTGAGTCTCCCTGGGCCTTTTCTCGGTTCCACAGCTTTGCTAAAGCCTCAAAGCATGGTCAGATGAGTACACTCCTTTTCCACCCTGTGCTAGAACCCAGTGACTTGGGCCTTTCCCTCCCTGGATAACCCTGGGCCCAGTCTTGAGCCACTACCTAGAACAGCAGATGGTGCCCACGCTGTGTGTGTGGCCAGAGCCCTGAGCTACACAGGCCACCTGGCCAGCCTTGTTCATCCTCCAGATGCGTATGCTCTGATCCTGTGGAAAGTGGGGGTTGGGGAGAAATGATGACTCATGGTTTTCTTGCCTTGGTTTTCACTTGGGAGGCCCAGGCCTCTCAATCCTCCCTCCAACCTCATCTGTCTGTCTGTCTTTCTTCCTTTTTTTTGGTTTTTCGAGACAGGGTTTCTCTGTGTAGCCCTGGCTGTCCTGGAACTCACTCTGTAGACCAGGCTGGCCTCGAACTCAGAAACTCGCCTGCCTCTGCCTCCCAAGTGCTGGGATTAAAGGCGTGTGCCACTACCGCCCGGCCCTTTCTTCCTTTCTTTCAAAAATACTTTTTGCTAAAGATTTATTTATTTATGTATATGAGTACACTGTTGTTCTGAGGACATTAGATCCTGTTACAGACGGTTGTGAGCCACCATGGTTGCTGGGAATTGAACTCAGGACCACTGGAAGAACAGTTGGTACTCTTAACTGCTGAGGCATCTCTCCGTTTTTTCAAGACAAGGTTTCCCTATGTAGCTCTAGCTGTCCACGAACTCACAAAGATCTGCCTGCCTCTGTTCCCCGAGTGCTGGGATTAAAGGTGTGTGCCACCACTGCCCAGCTGCCATCATATCTCTTCTTGGGTCTCACCTTGGCACAGCTGGCAAAAAGCCACCCCTTCCGGAACACATCCAGGGCCAGGACAATGTCTGGGAGAGAGGGGAGGATTGGTCAGAGAACAGGTCTATCAAGGAGGCAAGGAAGGGGAACTATCAAGTCCAGGCTGAGGACCTGCCTGTGTGACCATGGAGGATCTGACAGGCCGAAGTCTGCAGCTCAAACACCTTCAGGCAAGGGCTGTTAGAAGCCACGATGATGTGGGAGTCATTGGGCCCCAGGAACCGAACATCCAACACTTCCTCACTATAGCCAGCAAACTGTGGGAGACAGGAAGGAAAGTCGTAAGTGAGGGCTTGCATGCAAAGCCTAACGCCTAAGCCCAGCACCAGGCAGGAACAAATGCTTACCTGTTTCTGCAACTGTAAGGAATGTGTCTCATAGAGTAGCAGGTTGTGATCGGCAGTGACAGTGAGGACCAGGCCAGCAGCACGGGCCAGGGTACAATGGGTCAGTTCCTGCCCTAGGCCTGGCATTTGTGCCTGGGTGTATACACACTGTCCAGAAGCTGCCTCCCACACACGAAGGATCCCTGTAGGAGAACAAGGGCTGTTGAAGGATGTCCACAGGCTTCCCCCAGCACCCGTTCCACATGTGGCCATTCCCCCACACCTTGGTCGCCAGCTGTTAAGAAGTGTAGACCCGAGTTCTTCACACCCAGTGCAGGTGCCGGCTCTTCAGGCAATAGCACGGCGGCTTCCACGCTCTGTGGATGAGCAAGTTCAGAACCTATACAGCCAAGCATCCCATCCCCCATCCCTGGCCCTGGCCCGCAGGCACCCATACCTCAAACACTGGCACCGTTCTTGTGCTCTGGTAGCTCTGAAGGTCCCAAACTATGCAGATCTTGTCACGGCCAGAGCTGAGGAGAAACAGGTCCCTCTGTTGCAATCTCAGCCTTGGTCTCCCTTTTCCACCCACCAGTAGCCAGCTACTGACCTGAGCATAGTGTGGCCATCCTCACTAAAGGACAGAGAAGTGACAGCACTATAGTGTGCTGTCAGGACAGCCAGACACGAGCGGTCCTGCAGTGACCACACGCGGATTGAAGTGTCCACAGCTGAGGAGAAGAGCAGCAGGCGAGTGGGGTCTGGATGGAAGGCCACCAAACTGAAAGCAGGGACAGACAAATGAGCTGGACTTCTAAGGGTGGTGCCTCTGCTCATCCTTCCTCTGCCACCCTAACTCACTGCACGACACCAGGCGAGCCTCGAAAGTGGTGTGTTCCATAATGCTGCACAACGTCCCAGACACGTACAGCCCCATCACAGCCGCCTGTAGGAATGTGTTTGAGGTTAAGGGCATACAGAATCCTTGTTCTAGTGTCCCTCCCCAACACACCCACCTAGCTGGGGCTCTACCTGTGGCTAACAGTGTAGAGGTGGCATCAAAAGCCATGGAGGCCACAGGAGCTGTGTGTATTGCCTTCCACAGCCGAGTGACAGTGCCTTCTCGCCAGGCCCACTGAGCCAGCAGCAGTGCTCGGCTGGCTGTTACCAGTACCTAGGGGAGGGTGTGGGATAATAAAGATGTCAGATGATACATGCTTGCCAATTCAGTGTGGAAGGGAGGTACCAGAGTTTAACCACTGCCCCTTCCCATCATACTTCATCATCGGGACTGAGGTCAAAGGCAGTAATGTCCTCTTGGTCTTCCTAAGAGAAGAATGGGAATATAGAAACCATAAGAATATGCTACCCTCCCCTAGGGCCTCTCACAACTGCCCCAGTCTGTTCTCACCTGCTCCAGACTCCGAAGCAAAGCCCCTGAGGCCACATCCAGGATGTTGACTTTGGTACCACAGACACAAAAGAGGTAATGGCCAGTCTGGTCCAGCTAGGAACAAAAGGGTCTCAGGCAAGGAACTACTCAGTACTCCCTACCCATCTATCCCAACTGCCCCAGGAGATAGTTACCTGGGCTTTCCCACCCTTGTAGAAAGGTTCAATCTTTCGCTCAACAGCATAGCTGGGAAAAGAATAGGACACTGAATGATGGCCTAACCTCCTTGGCCTAGTGCCCAGAACACTAGGTGCTGTCCTAGGATTTGTCCTAGCCAAATCCTTGCCCTTGCAGAATGCCTAGGTGGCAGCAGGAACCCAGGGGTGAAAACCAAGCATCTCTGTGGAAGGATGATGTCATTACAGAAAGGTTGAGACCCAGAGCTAGTTGGTGAGCATGCCTGAGTGGATCTCATAAGGTCATCATACAGGTGTAAGAGCATGAAGCCCAATAGCCCAGGCTTCAGCATAGAGGTCTTTTAGGGGCTCCCTACTAGCTGTGGGAGGCCAGGAAAAGGTAATGTACTCTCAAAGTCTTGACCAGTGAGGTCCAGCATGCCACCACACTCCTCTGGCCACAGCCTCATTTGGTTTCTCCCTGACTAGCTGTGATTTCTGGGATCTGCCTAATGCTGCCCTCTTTCCCACTCTCTCTACTGCTTCATGCCAAGCCAAGGCATTGAAGTTTCCTGGGAGGTAATGGTGGTGGCCATTCCAGTGTTCTCACTGTATTTCTTTTTTTTTTTTCCTCACTGGATTTCTTACCTACACTTTCATCTCTGTTGTCTAGTGCTTTCTAGAACAACTGAGGGGTGTCTCTGCAGTGCTTAAAACTTGCCCTCCTCTCACACCTCACATGCTTCTGTGATATTACGCGGCCTTGCTCAGAAGGACTTTTGCCCATCTTTCTTAATGGTCAACATTACAGCGCCATTGCTCCTGGTCCAGACCCTATACCAGGTCATCTGCCTCTACCCTCTATGTAGGCAGGGCTGGTCTTTCCAAATTCAAATGCCCTGCCCCCAACCCCCTAAGTCCAGTCCGTGGATGTCTGTCCACCAAAATAAAACCAGCCTCCGAGACTCTGCAACCAGTTAACCCATCAATAGAGATGGTGTCAGTACCCAGGCTTCTCTTTGCTAGAGCTTGCTTGCCATAATCCAATTCACTCAGTGACAGATGGAAATTATTTATCTGAAAACTACACACTATGGATAAAGGCAGAGCCTTTTCCTAGCCTAGCACTAAACAGCAGCAGTTCACAGGGGAACTGACTGAGCATGGGACTCAGAGCCCCTGGTATCACTATGAATGCCTCTCCTAAACTCCTAGCTCCCTTTTCTGGTTCCTCCCCATTTCCTTTAGAGGTCGGCGCCTCCTCCGAGGACTTACTTGGCTTTGAAGCGGCACAATCCCGCCGTAGTCTCAGCCATGTCCCAGGGCAGCGCTCCCCTCCAAGCTCAGCAGCCTTTCCCCGCGTGAGACAGCCAGTGAGTTACTCTGCACTTCAAGGCACGATGTGATGACGTCATGGGTCGCCGCTACCTTGACGTCATCAGCATGCGCGCCAGGAGACCGCTACTGTGGGAACCGGCTTCTGGCACTAGGAATGGAAGCTGGAGGCGTTTCCAGGGTGGAAGCTGGCAGTGGTTACCTTGTTGAACGTCTTAAATTTTTATTGTTTATTTACTATTTTCGTTGTATCTGTTTTTCTTTTTGGTTTTGCCAGATGAGATGCGTTTTAGAACAACGGATTGGTGTCTCTGTAGTGCTTAAAGCTTCCTCTCCTCTCACGTGCTTCTGTGACCTTGCACAGGACTTTTGCCTCTCTGCCTCTTTCTCCCTCTCCCCGCCTCCCCTCCTCTTTCCCCTCCCCCTCCCTATCCCCCTTCTCCCCTTTCACCTCTCTCCTCTTCCCCCCTTTCTTCCTCCCTCTCTCTTTCTTTTGTTTTTTGTTTTTTTCGAGACACAGATTCTCTGTGTAGCCCTGGAACAAGTTCTGTAGCCCAGGCTGGTCTCAAACTTACAGAGATCCGCCTACTTCTACTTCACAGACTGCTGGAATTAAAGGCGTGCCCATCCGGTTTGTTTTCTTTTAATTAAAAATTAATTTCCGCCGGGCAGTGGTGGCGCACGGCTTTAATCCCAGCACTTGGGAGGCAGAGACAGGTGGATTTCTGAGTTCGAGGCCAGCCTGGTCTACAGAGTGAGTTCCAGGACAGCCAGGGCTACACAGAGAAACCCTGTCTCAAAAGACCAAAAAAAAAAAAATATATATATATATATATAATTTGCAGGGGCCAGAGAAATGGAAATGGCGGTTAAGAACACTTACTGCTCTTCCAGAGGTCCTGAGTTTAATTCCCAGCAACTACATGGTGACTCACAACCATCTATAATGTGATCTGATGCTCTTTTCTAGCATGCAGGTGTACATGCAGATACAGCATATATATAAAATAAATAACTTCTTTAAAAAATTAACTTGCGGGCTGGAGAAATGGCTTAGCGGTTAAGAGTGCTGGCTGCTTCTCCAGAGGTCCTGTGTTCAATTTCCAGCAACCACATGGTGGCTCATAACCATCTATAATGAGATCTGGTGCCCTCTTCTGGCCTGCAGGTATATATGCAGGCAGAACACTGGATACATAATAAATAAATAAATCTTTAAAAGAAATTAAATTTACACTCTGTAAGCAGAGACAGGTGGATCTCTGAGTTAAAGGTCAGCCTTGTCTATAGCATGAATTTAAACACAGCCAAGGCTACACAGAAAAACCTTGTCTCAGAAAAAAAAAGATGATTAAGGTAGAGTCTGGTTATGTATTCAGTTAGTTTTAGGCTGGTCTGGAACTGTGTGTTAATCTAGACTGGCTTCAGGCTCAAGCTCTTTCTGTTTCAGCCTCTCAGATACTCTCAAGTTATCATTTAATGTGTATGTGTGTGCCACGTCTTCCCATTTGACATGGCACGTGTATAGAGACATGGAAGTAGCTTCCTCCACTGTGTAGATCTCAGGGATGAAACTCAGATTATCTTGGCAGGAGTTACTCAGTGAGACATATCTTTGGCCCAGTGTGTGTGTGTGTGTGTGTGTGTGTGTGTGTATTATTTCTGAAAACAAGCAACAAGGCCTTTATGTAGCTCTGGTTGGCTTGAAACTATCTACCTCAGGCTGGCTTTGAACTCACAGAGATCCCCCTGCCTCTGAATCATGAGTGCTGAAATTAAAGGCATGTGACACCACTACCCTGCTTCCAGACCTTTTATCTTAACATGGATTTTTAAAGTGCTTTTGGCCGGGGCATGGTTTGAGATGCCTTTAACCCTAGTACTCAGGAGGCAGAGGCAAACAGATTTCTGAATCCAAGACTGGCTTGGTCTACTTAACATCAAGTCAACCAAAGCTCTGTAGTAAAAACCTGTCTCAAATAAACAATTTTTTTTTTTTTTTGGTTTTTCGAGACAGGGTTTCTCTGTGTAGCCCTGGCTGTCCTGGAACTCACTCTGTAGACCAGGCTGGCCTCGAACTCAGAAATCCACCTGTCTCTGCCTCCCAAGTGCTGGGATTAAAGGTGTGAGCCACCACTGCCCGGCAAAACCCTTGCTCTTACAAAGCTATTTTTCAATGAACCAAGTAGGGTTTCCAGGGAGGACAAAAAATTCACAGTAGTTAAATATGTATGTGTCAATGCAGATTTAGCAAGGGATGGCAGAGGGTAGGAGGGACCATTTGAAGTTAGGTAGTAATGCTGCTTCTTTGAGAAGTCAACACCAGCCAGGCAGTGGTGGTGCACGCCTTTAATCCCAGCACTTGGGAGGCAGAGGCAGAAGGATTTCTGAATTTCTGAGTTCGAGGCCAGCCTGGTCTACAGAGTGAGTTCCAGGACAGCCAGGGCTACACAGAGAAACCCTGTCTCAAAAAAAAAAAAAAAAAAGGAAGAAATCAACACCTGAGCCATTGATGTTGTAAGGCCAGGAGGCCTGTGGTTTTCTGGACATGGTGCTTTAGATTGAGCTGGTTGGCTGGCTGTGAGGAATTCAGAGGAGACTACATACAAGAAAAGACAGATTTCTTTGACTTCTATTCTTTGTTAGGGTTTTGAGTCATTTGTATTACCAGCCAGGAAGCTATTAGTCTAGTAGGAAGGTGCAGAAAAGCCATGGAGAGAAAAGGTGGGTTAGTGAAGAAGGGAACAGGTTTGCAGGATGGGGACTACTCAGTGGTAGATCCAACCAGGGAAAGAACTTAGTGTCTGGGAGATGGTGGGGCAGTATTGGCACACAGCCATAGCTACAGAGAAACCCTGTCTCAGAAGAAAAAAAGCCTGGGAGAACAATCTAGGGGAGAGAGGGCAGTGTCTGATATGGAAGGTTTGCAGGGGTGACAAGGAAAACAGAACACATAGAAGGCACCGAGGACTTGAGGTGGGCCTGGCCTGGGCTCAGCGTTTATTTAACTCCTCTATAAGACACCTTGGCCCTGCTCACCCCACATCTCAGTCTCCGGGGCAACCTCAATCTCTTGCACCTGGGTATTCAGGAGCAGGGTATCATCCTCCAGGAAGTTGCTCAGCTGTGCCAGCTGCCGGCGGATGAGGTTGGTGGTGCGGTGCACCCGGCGTACATGTCCCAGCAGGCTCAACAGCAGGGTCCGGTTGCGCTCATGGCGTTGGACCCAAGCATTACGTAGCTCGCGGTAGCAGTTGTGTTGCTCACTCTCCAAGGCAGCCAGAGTGGCTCCACAGCCTAAGGGGCAGCGCTGCTGTCCATTCTGCTGGCAATGCTGGCGGTGTTCATCTAGGACCCCACGCAGAACCTGTGCAGTGCAACCCTCATTGGGGCAGGCCATCAGCTCAAAGGGGCATGAGTTCTGATGCCCCTTGCGATGAGCCAGAGGACATGTCACCAAGCAGCCAGCTGCAGCGTTCTTGCACTAGGGAGTATGAGAAGGCTCAGTATGTATTAAACTAGATTAGTAACCGTCAGCTGGGGCTCCCATGTAATCTCTAATCTATGATAATCCACAGACTATGAAACAAGTGAACTCTGGAGCCTCCTAAGCTTTTGTGATTTCAAGCTTCTTCATTTTGTAAAGTTAGAGGGCTGGGCTGGAAAGATGGATCAGTGGTTAAGAGCACTGATTGCTCTTCCAGAGGTCCCGAGTTCAATTCCCAGTAACCACATGGTGTTTCACAACCATCTGTAATGGGGCCTGATGCCCTCTTCTGGTGTGTCTGAAGAGACCAATGATGGTGTACTCATATACATAGAATAAATAAAAGAGTGCTGAAAGGTGATGGCACTTCATCCCTGAGCCTCATAATCCCCACATTCCACCAGAAGTTCTAAGGGACCCACACAGCAAGTTGTAGACCCATGAGCCATAGTCTTCTGCCAAGTCTATGACCTTTGGCCTATTCTTGGTTCTTTCCATCTCTTCTGGCTGTCCCAGCCCCCTGCCCCTCCCCTCCTCCCCCAGGAGGACGGGAGTGGAAGCTCAGAGCTACCTTGACATGTAGGCGGCCAATGGTTTTTCGGAGTCTATTCACTTGGACCATCTTTCTCCTTTTCACCTCTTTTCTACAGCATGGACAGGTGTTTTGTCTAGAAGGAGGCATGAGTATGATGTTGGAAGTCATGCCTGTCAGAGCAACCTTCATGGGGTAACCCAGCTAGTCCTTCCTTTCTGTCTGAAGGCATGAAGTGGGCATTACAGTGAGGTTTTTGCTCCCAAGCTGAGGCTGGGGACTTCAGACACCTGAAGCAAGGGCACACACATGCTTAGTGTCCTAGGTTTTTGTAGGTGAGTCTTATAGACATTGGAACCCAGTTTTTGGCTGACTTTCCCATTCTTGGCCGCAGGAACTGGCTCCCAGCTTCAACCCCACTCTCCTGTACTCCCAGCACACCTGGCTAGCCACTGGAAGATGCACTTCTTGCAGAAGATGTGACTGCATGGCAACCTCATTGGCCTCTTGAGAACCCCATGGCAGACGGAACACAGGAAGTTGCAGTCAGGAGGGCTGGCAAAGAGGTTGAGATCGTACCCACCACTCTGCAAAGGCCAGGTCAGTGTTAAGGCCAAAGCCTGGGTGGGACCAGACCCAAGCCCCTGCCACAAGCACTCATACCAGCAAGATAACCCAGCAATCTTTTGGTAGGGAGGACAGCTATACAAAGAAACTTACATAGAGAGCCTAGAGGGGTCTGCACCCACTTCAAGGGTGAGTCTGTGGGGGGGTGATTCCCAAGATTGCCAACTGGAATGTTTCTAGTATATACTCATTAAGAACCTTCTCAAAGGTTTTGTCCCATAAAAGGACTGTCATGCATTCTCAGAGTGAGATAGAATCTATTTTGGGACAGCTGGGCATCTGTCTGGAACTGTACAAATCTGAGTTGGTGAAGAGACCAGAAACTTACCATGATCTGTATCTGGACGGCAGCTCCACTGAGACGAAGGGTCCAGGAGCCTCCATTTGACAGCATGTATGGACTGACATCACAGTGGCATTGTCCAGCATGAGCCAATCACAGCTCTAGTCCAGAGCCCACTGGGCCCTACCTCATGGTCACCTACCCTTTGCTTTTCCCTCTGAAAGTGAGTGGCCTCAACTCAGTTGTCTATGGATTCACTGCACTGCTTTAGTTGTGGCTGACATCTGCTGCCTAAGCAAAAGAACCAAGCTTCTAGAGGCTGTCCTTCCTCACTAACATCCCTTCACCAAGAACTAAGTTCCACAGCAGGAAGTCTATCCTGTGGAAAAGCCCAAAGGGGTTTTAACTGTAAATTTTAAGAAAGGCTTTGAGTAGACAACTGAGTTATGGCATATATATATATTTATTTGCTAGTGTAGCTTTTTCCTCTTTGGGTATAACATGGTCTCCATATTGGTACAAAGGTCACATGGCAAGTAAGCACATAAGGCAGGCCTAAGGCAATAGTAATAGAGTTGCTGACATCACTGAAAATCTTCCTTTTGGCCAGGCCATGGTGGTGGGACACCCCTTTAATCTCAACAGAGGCAAGTACAGCTCTTTTTGAGTTTGAGGCCAGGCTAATCTAAAGTGAGTTCCAGGACAGCCAGAGCTACACAAAGAAATGCTGTTTTACCCACCGCCCCACCCAGTCTCATTTGGCTGAAGGCCATCTTGGGAGTGACAACAGCATACTTGAAGGCCACTCCAGATCATAATCTGACAGGGTGGGACAGCTGCTGTGGGGCCACACATGCTCAGTAAACTAAATGTATTGGTTCACTAACGTGAACTTCAGTGGTCATCACTAATATCCTATTTAGGGAAAAAAATGCCAACACATTCCTGCAAGTTTACTTTAGCCTAGGTGGTCATCTTTTTAAAATAAATGTATCCATGTGTAGGTATGATTTCTCTGCACATAGGTCTGTGCATCCGTGTGTCCATAACCTTGTAGACAACAGTTAAGCCATCTCTAGCCCTTGTGATCACCTTTACACTGACTGGCTCTCAGTGTTGTCACTATGGTCTCTCCAGTACAGGTAACCACAGCCAGGCTCCAGTCAGTGTAATCCCAGCATTTGGAAGGCTCAAGTAGGATTGCTAAATTCCAGGCATTCCTAAGAGTACACAGCACAGCACGACAGTCTCATCAAAAAGAAAAAAAAAAAAAGATTGAAGAAACATTCTTATGGCTATGTGCATCGGTTATGCCATGTGATGCACATACATACATGCAAGCAAAATGAAGCACTCATAAGAAATCCACCTGCCTTAGCTACCCAGATGCTGACTGCTGGGACTAACACAACGGTTACAAATGCACTTTCTACTTACACTTATGGGAACCCTCCAAAACATTAACACGCGGTAAGTTAAACCATTTTATTTGAGAAAAGAGGACACCCGAGCCTTTCCATTCTCGCCGGAGAGGCGGCAACAACGTCCAGATCCAGTGGAACCTGCGGAATAAATGACATGGTTAGGATTGTGGCCACAAGCTGAACCGCAGGGGCGGCGAGGCGATCTGGAATGTAGGGGCCTGGGTTTCACCCTCCCACACTGGGGCAGCAGGCGGTGAGCTAAGGCCTCTGTGGCTCTGGGCGCCGAATCTCACCCCCGGCCACAGGCCAAAGCCGAGGGAGATTTTCAACGAACGCCCATTTCTCGATAGCGTACGCCTCGAGAAGCCCATGAGGAACGACCTACCTGGGCAAACAACCCGCACCACGAGTTCATGGACACTAGGAGGACCAGGAGGTGCCGGCGCGAGCATTTATACGTCCTTCCGGTCGATGTAGGGCACGGCTTCGGAGAGGGAAAGTGCGCAGGCGCAGGCAGAACAAGGCGGGGGCGGGACAAGATGCAGCCAATCCTAGCCTGCAGGTGCTCTGCAGAGACAGGCGAGATCTCGCGGCTCTTGGCGCAATATAAAAGTTCCCTTCCGCACGGCCTCCCTCTTCTTCTTCTTCGGGAAAACACGTGAGTCTGCGTTACTGTGGCCTGGCCTTGCGGCCTGGTCTGTGGGAATCCGTGGACATCCGGACGGACACACCTTTGGCTGGACCGCAGAGCCTAGGGTTCTGTCGAGTTGACTTCTCTTTTTTTCTTGTCATTAGCAAATGGCGGATGACGCCGGTGCAGCGGGAGGACCCGGAGGACCCGGGGGCCCAGGATTAGGAGGCCGCGGTGGCTTCCGTGGAGGATTCGGCAGCGGTCTTAGGGGCCGCGGTCGTGGTCGAGGCCGTGGCCGTGGTCGAGGCCGCGGGGCTCGTGGAGGAAAAGCTGAAGACAAGGAGGTAGGTCTGGGCCGCTGGCGGGACGGGATGCTCTTCCCATGCAATGGAGAGGCAGCCCATTGACTGATGTCTTCCTTCAGTGGATCCCCGTCACCAAACTGGGCCGCCTGGTTAAGGACATGAAGATCAAGTCCTTGGAGGAGATCTACTTGTTCTCCCTGCCCATTAAGGTACAAAGACGCCTCGGTATATAAACAATCTGGGCGGGAACGTTCTCTAGATGGGTCTTAGTGCGCTGCCACATTTGTCGGGTCGAGGAGAGGAATCGGAATAGCCTCCTTCTGTTCGTTGGTAAGGAGCGAATTTAACATGTTTCCCACAAAATCTCTTGTATAGGAATCTGAGATCATTGATTTTTTCCTGGGTGCATCCCTAAAGGATGAGGTTCTGAAGATTATGCCAGTGCAGAAGCAGACTCGGGCTGGCCAGCGGACCAGGTTCAAGGTTAGATAAGTTTCATGGCAAGATGGAGCTGTGTGAACAGTGGGGCCGAGCAAAACTCTCTCACTCTGCATGGTTACACTAGGATTTACCCGTGTGACTTTCGTACGGGGAGAGAGAGAAAAGGAGTTCCTCCAGGACTTTGGATTGGCCTCACAGTGGCCTCTCTCGCCTAGAGGAGCACTACAGGTCCTGTCAGGGATGTGCTGGTGCCACCAGGTATCTCCAGCCATTTCACCTAAGTCTTTTCACAGGCTTTTGTCGCTATTGGGGACTACAATGGTCACGTTGGTCTTGGTGTCAAGTGCTCCAAGGAAGTTGCCACTGCCATCCGAGGGGCCATCATCTTGGCCAAGCTCTCCATTGTCCCTGTGCGGAGAGGCTACTGGGGGAACAAGATTGGCAAGCCCCACACTGTTCCGTGCAAGGTGACAGGCCGCTGTGGCTCTGTGCTGGTGCGTCTCATCCCTGCCCCCAGAGGCACTGGAATTGTCTCTGCTCCTGTGCCCAAGAAGCTCCTGATGATGGCCGGCATAGACGACTGCTATACTTCAGCCAGGGGCTGCACTGCCACCCTGGGTAACTTTGGTAGGTAGCTCGATCAACTATGGCCTCTCTCAGCTCCGCTGGATCATGCAGGCCCAATGTGTGGTGTGGTTGGCTCATTTTAAGGGAGAGGAAGGCCCTCCTAATGCACGACAGACCTGCCCTAAAGTGGCCTCTCCGTTCCTAGGAGTGCAACAGCACCTTCATGGGCAACCAACCCTTTTTACTGTTTTACAGCCAAGGCCACCTTCGATGCCATCTCCAAGACCTACAGCTACCTGACCCCCGACCTCTGGAAAGAGACTGTGTTCACCAAGTCTCCTTATCAGGTATGCAGTTGGTGGTGTGTTTGGCTGCTTTCTTACCTAAGTTGGGGGCGTGCTGTGTACTAATGTCCTACTTCTCTTTTTAGGAATTCACTGACCATCTTGTGAAGACCCACACCAGAGTCTCTGTTCAGAGGACTCAGGCTCCAGCTGTGGCTACCACATAAGGGTTTTTATAAAAGAAAAATAAATGAATTAAGTCTGTTAATTTTTTTGTCTGTTTTCCCCATTTATGGTATTCTGGCTAATATGCCAGATATGGGTGTGCAATTTAGACACCAGAAACACAGGTTGTGTCTGAGCCCAGCACTTTTATTTCAACAGTGGAATGAATCATAGCATCTTAGGCAGCAGCAGTCTGCTTGGCAGACTTCCTCTCTTCCAACATCCTCTGCTTCTGCTTTGCCAGGCACTTTCTGGCAGAACAGTAGGCTCCTAGATCAAGATCTGGAGAAGAGATGAGCTTGTTACACACAAGGTTTTAGTGGCTGGGAAAACAACTACATACTGTTGAGTAGGTAGGGAGAGCCAGGAGGTAAAGGGTGAGATAAAGCGGGGCCACTCACAGCGGTCCTGGTAGGCTTTACACACGTTGGCGAACTGCTCCAATTCCTTGGCACAGTTTTGATGTGCGCTCTCTCCTTCCCTCTGCTGACAAGCCTTAAGTCTCTCCTGGATGATGTTCATTATTTCCTGGTCAACTTTGCTGTAAGTAGGATAGCAGTGTCTATCTCTCAAGAATTTGAAAGGATAGAGGACTACCTCAGCCCAGAAAGCTGGGTCTATTAGGAGGAGTGGGGTTACAATGGTGCCCAGTGGTCCCTCCTGCTCACTTACAAGTCCCTTTTCCACTGCATCTCAGCCTCATAGATGCACAGGACATCACCCTCTTTGCATTCTGTGATGTCTGGCACTCGACGGTACTGTCGGTGATAGTAGTAGGTTCGGTTCTTGGCATGCTGCTGTTCAATAAATTCTGCGGAGAGAACACCTTGAACTCAATGGGCGGTCATCTTAATCCAAGCTTTTACAGAACTGGTTTTATGAAGAACTGGCAACAGTAGTCACCACCCTCAGTTACATGAGAACTTAAGTGAGCTCACCTGCCCCGTGGGGGTGGGGTGGAGTCAAGTAGGCAAGGAGGGTCTATCAGGAACTCAGAGGCAGAGTCCCAGTCTAAGATGCTACCAAAAATGTAGTTGACCTTACTGCAGTAATGCACTTGGGACTGGTTTGGAAACCATCTTCCTTAGCACAAGGGCCACCTGTAAGCCAGGGGCAGTGACACTTTCTAATTCAAGCTACTGAGCAGCTGTATAATATTGGAAGATAATGTCTCACAAAGAAGCCACCCACAATCGGATCCTCAACACTAAGGAAAAGAAAAACCACCTTAGCATGCTGTGGACCCCAAATGCTGGATAAGTGAGCTGCTTAAGCCCAGCATGATCCAGCTGCTGCCCACCATTCTGGCTGAGCGGATCATTCTCTAGGACCAGGGATAAAGAGCATAGCCATTTAAAACACACCTTTGCGCAGGTGAAACTGGCCCAAAGAGAACGAAAATGACCACCCTGACCATGCAGATGGATACAAATGGTCCATTTCAACAAGGGCTTATTGACCGCTACTTGGTTAGATTCCCCACCACTACCGTTTTTTGTTGTTTGTTTGGCCTCAAACTCAGAGATTCACCTGCCTCTGCCTCCCCAGTGCTGGGATTAAAGGCATGCATCACAACCGCCCAGAACCCAACCACCACCGCTTAAAAGAGCGACCCGGGTCGAGGAAAGGTTAGTTTGGGTTCTGCTGAAGGCAAAAAGAATTATAAACAAGGTAGTCCCGGGAAGAAGTGGATTATCCCGCGGTGCAGCAGGGAAGACGGGAGGCCCTGGGAACGGCCTGGGGTGACAGCTCCGGGACGTTTCTCGGATATAAGGATATAAAAGTGTCCTAGATACACTGGTATTGAGGCGATTTGGACTCGGGGACTCTGGGTGCGGGACAGCCGGCATGTAGCTGTAGTGGTTCCAGGGGGCAGAAACTGAATGTGGGATCCGTGGGATACCGGGGTCTCCACTAAGCGGACGGAATTCTAGACCCTGTACCTCTCACGAGGGTCACGGGCCGGTCCACGATGAGGTCGTAAGCCTTCGTCAAGTAGGTGATGGGGTTGGGGAGCGAGGTCTGCGGCGAGGGAGCAGGCGTGCGGCGCGGGGGCTCCGGGTACACATCCTTGTCCCAAGAGTCTGGCATGGTTTAAGCAAACCCTGCCGACCTTCCACTCGCTCCGCGTCTGGGTCCGCTCGGCCTGCAGAGGACGCGGGACCTCTACGCCTGCGCAGAAAGGCGGCAGCTACGTCTGCGTAGTGGGCAGCCGCGAGGCACCATGGGATCGTGGTTCGCCTCTCGGGCACCCTCTTGTGGTTGCCAGCACACTGTGGTATCCTGGTCTAGTTGGACAGAGGTCACCAAATGCCTGGAAATGCTTTGCCCTGACCTACCAGCTAAGATAGCAGGGAATACGATGAACATGGCTTGGAAGGACTACACACACAAGACAACAACTTATCTAGACTCTGCTAAGGTCCCTTGGGAGCTGGTGGGTCCCTGAAGAGGCAGGGTTTGTCCCGTTGTGTCCATAGGGAAAAAGGGTTTCCTACCCTAGGCACAGAGTGCTTTGCCCTGCTTCTGGTGGTTCTGATCCCTGAGTACTTGTGCCCTGAGTTGTCCATTCTCCAGGACTGCACTGCCCAAATTCTTGAGTTTATGTATTTAGAACCTGGGCAGTGGAAATTCTCACTTATGTGTCATCTAGGTGCTGATCACCTCCTGCCAGAGTTAGGGGCTAAGAAATAGAGCTATTAGCTGTGGAGATTTACCATAAACTAGTATAATATAAACATCAGTTTATGACACCGAAGTCAGACCCATAAATCTTATCATTTTGGTATCATAGAATCTTAGTGTATAGTGTAAAACCACTATCCCTGCGGAACATCTTAAGCCTGCTGGACTCAGTGATTCTACAACTACAGAATCTTGATTATGTAATAAATAATGTGCATGCCTGTAGTCCTGGCACTAGGCAGCAGAGGCAGGTGGATCTCTGAGTTCCAGTACAACCTCGTCCGTACAGTGAGTTTCAGGACAGCCAAGGCTTCACTAAGAAACACTCTCAACAAAACAAAAACAAAACAAAAATAGTGGCACAAATCTGTATGTGGAGCTACACAAGGGTCTTAGTTTGGATGATTGTTGGAATCCAGGAGTTCAATACCAGCTTGGGGAGCCAGAAATGTAGTTTCAGGCCATTTTGGTGGCCAAGGGCAGGATTTCCATGAGTTCAAAGCCAGATGGCCTATCATGTGAGACCTTTTCTCAAAAGAAAAAGAAGAGGTTAGAAAGATGGTTTAGCAGTTAAGTGGTCTTCCAGAGGACCTGAGTTTGATACTCTCTGCTCACATAGTGGTTTATAATGGTCTGTAACTCCAGTTCCATGGAGTCTGATGCCCTCTTCTGGCCTTCAAGAACACTAGGCATACAAGTGGTACACGGATATACATGCAGGCAAAACATTCATACACATAAATAAAATAAAGTCTTTAATTAAAAAAAAAAAAGGAAAAAGTCTAACAGCAGTGGTACCCACCTTTAATCCCAGCACTTGGGAGGCAGAGCCAGGCAGATCTCTGGAAGTTCGAGGCCAGCCTGGTCTACACTTCCAAGACAGCCAAGGCTACACAAAGAAACCTTGTCTCAAAAAAACAAAAAAAACAACAAACAAAAACAAAACAAAAAAAAACCCAAGAAGACAAAGGAAAGAAGAAAGCAAAGAGTGACATAGAGGCCATGGAGGGGTGCTGCACATGGGCTTGTTCTACAGGGCTGACTCAGCCCGCTTTCTTACAGAACTTGACCCCACCCACAGTGGGCTGGGCTCTCCCACATCAGCTATTAATCAAGAAAATGTGTTACAGTCTTATCTAAAGGCCAATCTGACTGGGAATATTTTCTCAATTGAGATTCCCTCTTCCAAAATGATCTTGGCTTCTGTCAAGAATTCTGTTCTGACATAAAACAACCCAATATACCAGAACAGGTTCTTGTATGAATATTTTTTTTTTATGTTTCTTTGTTTCTTTGTGTCAGGGTCTTAAGTAGCACAGGCTGGCCTGTAACTTAGAATATAGCTGAGGAAAAAAAAAAGAAAGAAAGAAATGCCGGGTGGTGGTGGCACACGCCTTTAATCCCAGCACTTGGGAGGCAGAGGCAGGCGGATTTCTGAGTTCAAGGCCAGCCTGGTCTACAGAGTGAGTTCCAGGACAGCCAGGGCTATACAGAGAAACCCTGTCTCGAAAAAAAAAAAAAAAAAAGAGTATAGCTGAGGATGGTTTTGGATTTCTGATCTTCCTGCCTCCATGTCTCAAATACAAGTGCTGGATTATAGTTGTGTGTTGCCATGTTTGGTTTATGCTATGCTGAAGACTAAAGCCAGAGCTTTGTGCATACTAGCAAGGATTCTATTAACTGGGCCACACTCTTAGCTCTGCTATTTTTTCTTCCTTCCTTCCTCCCTTCCTTTCTTTCTTTCTTTCTTTCTTTCTTTCTTTCTTTCTTTCTTTCTTTCTTTTCTTTCTAAGACAGGGTATTTTGTGTAGCCCTGGCTGTCCTGGAACTTACAGACATTCACCCTGCCTCAGTATTCCCAGTGCTTGGATTAAAGACATGTGCCGCCACCACCACCTGGCTTCTACTTCAGTTTCTCCCTTCAAGTTTTTGACTTGAGTTTTGCCTTGGCTTACCTCAATGATAGACTGTGATCAGGATGTGTAAGACAAATAAATGGTTTCCTCCTCAGGTTGCTTTTGATT